TGCACTACAATCCCAAAGGTGCACTGCGGTTTGAATCCATCCGACACTCTGCGGGAGGATGGGAGGATGGAAAATCTCTTCTCTTGCGATTCACTGGCTCTGAATAACCACTAGAGGTTCGGGGATGCATCAGTTCCAACTCAATGGCACACAACAACAATTTGGAAACCCCTTAGTGCATTCATGAATTTCACCCTTGATTATCAATGTTCACTAACAGTAAAAAGAGACAATGTAGGTTTTTGAATGAAGGAATTTAATAGCACATATTAATCAGTTTTACCCCGTGGTAGTTTCCACAAGTTGCTCCAAGGGGGAAAAAAGGGCAATCTCCTCCCGGAGGGATTCATGGCCTAGGATGCCCCTGAAGGAGGGCAGAACCAACGCAATGACGTGAGTTGGGTTTATCTTTTACAGATAAGTAATTTAAGCACTATGGGTGAAATAATGGTTTCCATGAGTTGCCACTTATTAAAACCGAGTGCTCAGACTTCGTTTACACTATTCATTCTATGCTTAAAATCCCACTTTTTTACCTTTTCCTCTAAAAATGGTTTTAAATGGGGAGGGGAATAAAAACCATTATGTTGTCTTATTTAACATGCAAAGTTCCCCTAATCTTCTATTGCTCAGAAGGTCTACCTCAAAGGAAAGGAAAAAATCAGCAGTGCAGGAGGGTAATCCCTCAGGCAGGGATATTTCAGACAGGGAATGGAATGGAGTAAGTTAGGCACTGGTAGAAAATAATATGGTATGAAGTCATGGTGTTTGGAGGCTCTGTGTTAAACGGGATTAAACTATAAAATGAATGCTTATAGCATTGAGTTAAAGCTGATTGAAGAATAATTTATATATATATATATAAACCTAGTAAAAAGGTTTGTAATGTTGGCTTAGGAATTGGATGCTCTTGATGTGAGTAAAAGAATAATTATATGTAAATGCTGTGTACCAAATCAGGAAGGTTTTAATTAAAAAGGGTTGCTATAAGTCTTTTGTTCCCCTCTTATTAAAGCCCTTATCACAATGACATATAATTATTTATTGGCTGCTTTCCTCTGGACAAGCCCACTTGTCATTGCCTGTGGGAAGCCAGCTCCAGTCTGGATGCAATCCTTCAGATACTGCAGCCCTCAAGCTAAAACTAGGGACAGTTTCTAAGCTTTAGCTGTGTCTTAATTCAGAGAAGAAATGGTCCCGGCCCTCAGGTGAAAAGTTAATAAAGGGAGGAGAGAGAAAGACTAGAACCCAGACTTTGTCAGGATATTTTAATAACTTATGTGGGGTAGGCTTCTCCATGAACCTGAGGCTCTAGGGAGAGGAGGGTCAGTGCTCTCACAGTAATCTGTTCCAGGATAAGCCCTACAATGCACAGATTTACATGGAGAAGGTTATCAGCAAGATTAAAAACCATTCTTTTTCTGTACAAGCTGGGAGTCTAGGGATTACAAGAAAGGGCACAGCCAGCTCATAAATCTGTAGTACCCAGCGCTCTGGACAGCCCTCCTCATTGGCAAAGCAACTGATGTTTCCTCCAATAAGGCTCCAGAGAAGCTGTTCATCACTATCTCATTTGGAGACTTGACACGCAAATGGAAGAAGTGACATTCACATTCACATCTGAGCAAAATCCAAAAGTTAGCAAGTCACAATAAATCAGGGTATGAGTTCTGCAAGGACCATGAGGGCCAGGCTCTCCTCTGCCAGCCTTTGACTCTGAAAAGGTTATAAAGGCCTGGGACACTATGTCTGGATCCTTCAAATCAAAATGTGAATAATGAACTCAAGTTCCAGCTCCAAACCAGGGCTGAGAGCTCCTGACCAGGGCTCATCACGGTGATGCTGGGCACTCTAAAACAAGAGAGGAACCGAGGAAGCTGTTACCATTGTGGTCTCTAGCTCTGTTTCTCAGTGAAACAAACCCGTATCAAGTCAGGATGTGCCAATGAATAAGCTACCTTCAGAAGAACGCTGATAGCTTCCAGTCACCTCTAGGATCTCCCTCTGTGAAATCAACTCCCTCCTTCAGGCCAACTGATCATTCCTTTCTGTGCTCCCACAATATACTCTTCAACACTTGGCTATGGCATTTATCACACAACATGGACACAACCTGGTCATCATCTGTATAGTTGTTTTACATCTATCAGATCTGAGGATCGCTCAATCTTATTGCCCAAGTTCTCAGTGCCTGGTCCACAGAAACTACACAATACCTTCAATTAATAGGAGAGTGACTGTGATGAAGCTGGCCTTCTCTGGGACTCAGTGAGCTCATATCCTATGACTCTTGCAAAGAGTCACAAAAACTTATCTAACATTAACCAAGCATTTGCGCTATCTGTGCCAGGCAGACATCAGGCACCAGGAATCTAGATCACATCAGACCTGGCCCCCTCCCCATGGGCCTCAGTCTCAGAAAGTGACTCATCCTACCCTAGGGCCTTTTCTGCCAACAGTCAATGGAGTCCATCTGCAGAATGAATAGAACAGGTATGCAGATGATTGGAGAGTAATGCAAACAAGCCTCCATATGCCCAACCTAAGGTAAAGGCCAATGAAAACAATCTACTGGGGTAACAGGAAGGACACAAAGCTTAATACATGGATTAGCAATAGTATATACAAATACAAAAAAAAATATACATTTATCATGGATGTGTGCTTGTAGTAGACAGACTCAAATGGCCCAGTGCTTTCATGCCCTCACCCTGAGTGTGGGTGACATTTGTGTCTTGTTTTATTTATTCATTTATACTAGTGGCTACTTTTTTTTGTTACTGTTGAAAATAAACGAAGCAAAATACCATTTCAGTTATTTCTACATGTGCAATCTAGAGACCCTGTCTGCATCTTCAAGGTCCACAACCATTCCCACCTTCTTCTTCTGAACTGCTTCTCTCCCCTCAGACATAAACTCCATGTCCCTAAGCTTCCCATCTAACCTTCTGTCAATCTAAATCCCACATAGATAGTTCTTTAAATAAGTATTATGCCCAAGGCAGACCTTCTTTACTAATAAAAACAACTGTTTTAAAGAAAAATTCAGGGAATACTTTTGGTTTGTGGTGTAATGTTTATCTCAGAGCACTAGTTTCAGTTGTTCATCCAGCCCAGTGGCTCTAGACTATCTAGCTGTGACTTGTTTTAAATCAAATGGAGAAAGTTAATGCCCTCAAAAATGTCAATGCCCAACAACAACAGAACTCAAACCACAACATACATAGAGATAAAGAAAAATAATAATCAATGCAAATGAACCTGACAAAGGATCTGAAAGTCCATCTAGAAAAGATCAAATAATGAGAAAAAACCAAAATATGTAATACATGTAATACAACAACATTAAATGTAATAAAGACCAAAGGGAAAACAAAGAGCTGAAATAAATAAATAAAAATGAGGATCTAAAAAAGATACTGAAATTGAAAGACACAACAAATAATGAAAGTGGAAACACAATAAAGGATTTACCAACAGATTTAATGAGCCTGAAAAAAGGGTCAATGAATTAGAGGATTAAAGAATTAAAATTATAGATGCTAAAGAGTTAGAAGAATGGAGGCCTATGAAGGCTAAGTACAATGTAGTGGTATTATTGGACAATAACAAGAGACCCAGTGTATGTTTCAGGAGAATTCTAGAAGGACATTAGAACATGAAAGAGGCAGAAAAAATATGTAGAGAAATGACAAAATCTATCCAATTAACAATGGGCACTAATCTACAAATCTAAGAACCACAAGCTATCAAATCTTAGAGAAATCTAGACCATGACACATCATAATGGGTTCATAAATTAGAGTCAAAGAATCTTATTTTTTAAAAGTAAAGAATCTCTTATACAACAAATGACAAAGAATCACTTATAAAGGATACCAAATAAGATTAAAAGCCATTTCCTCAGCAACATTAGACACTAGAATACAATGGAATGAATAAAGTGCTGAAGAAGAAAGAGAAAGTCAACCAAGAAAACTATACCCAGAAAACTATCCTTCAAAGTAGAGGCTGAAATGAAAATATTTCCAGACAAACAGAAGCAAAGAGAATTCATAAATACCAGATATTTATGAATGTCCCAGAGATGAAAGGAGATGTTCTAGTGGTGTAGTGGATTAAGTGTTGGGCTGCTAACCGAAAGATCAGTGATACAAATACAGGAAAAAGATGAGGCAGTCTTCTTCCCTAAGGTCACTGTAAATCAGAAGTGACTTGATGACAATGGGGTTTGGTTTTGGTGAACAGAAAGAGAACAGAAATTTCTTCAAAGTTATAAGGTCTAATAATAAGGCAGTCATGCCTATTAATTCTAATTGTTCTTCATGTTTTAAAAAATGATTATATAAAAAGCAAAGATAAAATTAAGGTATATATACTATGTAATTATTGGTAACAACAACACACGAGAAGGGGAATGGTATAGATACAGAATTTCTAGTACGTTACTAAAATTGGTACCAACTTACTCAAGTATGTTAAAAAATAGGCTTTTAGATTAAATAGTCATTGTAACTACTAAGAAAACATATTAAAAACATAAACAAAAGTAAAGGAGACAGGGACCAAAAGGTTCACTATGATAAACCAACAAAACACTAAATGCTCAGCTCAATAGGCAAAGAGTAACTGAAGTGATTAAAAAACCAAAAAATATGTTCCAGCCAGGATCAGGGGCAAATGGAACAAACCCTGATAATACTGTGCTGTTCAAAAGGTAAAAGAGAAAGAGGTTAGGAGAAAATGGACTAAAATATAAGACGTCTTACATAAAGTCTAAGCTTGTGTTTCCTAACTATAAAATCAACACCATGTGTATTTCAGAAATGACATCTTCAACAAGAGAGAGGTACACACACAAACATGGACAAGAACACATGACTGTGTGTACCCTCAACTCTGGAAAAAGATAAAAAGGGTCGAGAGACTAACAGTAGCAGAACTGATACTGTTCATTTTTTACTGTACTAGACAGCATGAGATAAAAGTATTATCTCTTACTTTCTTTTTTAGCTGAACTTGGCTGCTGAAACTGTTTGGTTTGGAGTAGCTGTAGCCAGGAGATGATCCATCTCTGGTGCATCAAAAAAATATGCCTGGAATAAAGAGAACAATAAGCGAAGTTAAGAAACAATGTCCTAGTTGAGTGTTCTCCTAGACTCCATGCCTAGACTCCATTGTTTCCCTGTGTCAATCATCTTTGTTTATGTCTGTCTCTCTTACTGGACTGTGAGTGTCTTCAACACCTGGAGGCCCAGCATTACCTAGAGATCTCCATGTGTTCCGGCTTTCCTTTGGTGTCAAAGAGCTTAAGCACGTAGGGCCCCAGGGTCAAATGACACACTCCATTCCTGGCAATTATTTCTTGGAGGTACCAAGGCCCACCAAATCACAGTAAGTGTGCATTAGGGCTGTATCCTTTCTCCATACCTATTCCATCTGCATGCTGAGCAAATAATCCGAGTAGCTGGACTATATGAAGAAGAATGTGGCATCAGGATTGGACGAAGATTCATCAACAATTTGTGTTATGCCAATGACACATCCTTGCTTGCGGAAAGTGAAGACTTGAGGCACTTACTGCAGAAGGTCAAAGACTACAGCCTTCAACATAGATTACATCTCACCATCAAGAAAACAAAAATGAGTAATGCAACTAACAATCTAGAATGAGGGAAAAGGGATAAATTTGTATAAATGAGTGAATGAAAAAGCAGTTTCTTTGTAAACTTCATTCAAACCACAATAAAATGAAAACAAAAAATTTCACCATTGGACCAATAGGCAACAATGTGATAGAGAAAAGATTAAGTTGTCAGTGACTTAATTTTACTTGGATCCACAATCAATACACATTATAGCAGCAGTCAAGAAATCAAAAGACATATAGCCTTGAGAAAATCTGTTGTCAATTACTTCTCCAAATTGCTAAAGAGCAATGGTGTCAGTTTAAAGACTAAGGTGAACCTGATTCAAGCCACAATGTTTTCAATTGTTTCTTATGCATCTGAAAGTTGGGCAGTAAATAAGGAAGACTAAAGAAGAATCTTTGACTTTGAACTGTCATGCTGGTGAAGAGTACTGAATATCCCATGGACTGCCAAAATAAACAAATCTTAGAGGAAGGGCAACAAGAAGCAAGGATGGTAAACTTTATGTTACATGCTTTGGGCATACTGTTAGGAGAGGCTAGTCCTTGGAAAAAGACATCATGCTGAGAAAGACAAAAAGAGAAAGATAGTCAGTGAAAGGTAACAGACTTGCAACGAGATGGACTGACAATATAACTACAACAATGGGCTTGAGGATGGCAGAAATTGTGAGGACAGGACAGGACAGGACAGGGTAAGGTTTGGATCTGCTGTTCATAGGATGGCTGTGAGTTGTAGCTGACTTGATGCATTATCTGACTGAATCTTCACAGCAACTCCATGAGATAGTTGTTATCTTCATTTTACAAAGGAAAAAATTGAGGATCAGAAAGGACACCATTTGGTCAAACATACTTCCGAGGAATGGAACCAGGGAACAAACTAGGTCTGCTGACTGCAAAGCTCAAATTCTTGTTAGGGGATGTGGTCAAGTCAGTTCATAGTGACATTGTGTGACAGTGTGGAACTGCTCCATAGGGTTCTGTAGGCTGAAACTTCAGCTGGAGAATATCATCAGGTCTTTTCTTCCACAGAGCTTCTGGGTGGGCTGAAATTACTGATCTTTCTGTTAGCAGCCAAGCACTCAACTATTATGCCACCTGGGCTCCTTTTCAAGCTCTTGATTGCTACATTACAGTCTTTCCTCCAGGACAAGGATTGTGTCTTTCTTCACCTCTGTGGCATCAGTACCTTGTACAGGGCGCACATGATATAAATGATCAATATTTACTGAACTGAACCACAAGAGACTGCTGCTAAACTAGCTGGCTCTCCACACAGCTTTCAAACAAAGTGCTAGGTATGTTTTACCTCATAATTCTTCAGCTAAGACAGATTTGCTAAGTGCTTCCATGCACCTTCTATAATTTAACTGCCACAAATAAGGAAGTGGAGGAGGGAAGATGTTAGGGAAACCCTGTTCACCTACGTTTCAAGGTCTAAGATGCCTAACTTTAGCCCTGGAAAATCCCAATCTCACTAGACTCTATATAATGGTTACTAACAATAAAGGTGAATCCATTAATACAGCAAGGAGCACTGAATGCTCGCATTTTCCGTTTTTGAAGTCATTGCTTTAACAAAGTAAAAGACAAAAAGCTAGCATTTTACCAGCTCTGCTCCATATTAGCCAGAAGAGGGCACCAAGACAACGCACAGGAGCTTTCTCCCACACATTCCTTACTAACTCTACAGCAGCCCTTGTCAAAAACGTTTCCAGGCAGTGCCTTTTCCTGCAGACTCTGCCCAATCTTCATATTCCCACAAGAACTCTATTAGTTTTATAAAGGCCTCCTCCCAGGACCCCTTCCTGTAGCTGTCTTGTGAGCAAGGTAAGGACAGCTTGGACTTAAGGTGGGAAGAGGGACCACACTGCTTGTCCTCCATTCTCCTCCTGCACGCGCACTGAGACAAATCGCCTGTGAACAGAAACTATGCTTTCTTCTAGCCTACTTGGGGTGTGGGGGGGGTCCTCCTCCTCAGATTGACTGAGCCAGGAAGCCCAGATCCTAAATCTAGCTCTCCTACTAATTCACTCTATGATTTTGGACAAGCCACTCCATCCCTATGGGCCTCTGTTTATCTATAAAACGAAAGGACTGAAAAAGTTGATCTTCAAGAACCTTTCCTTGGACAAGCTATAATTCTATAATGCATTAATTCCACAAGTGCTTAATAGCAAGCACAGCTATCATCTGGAAAGTGCCTTCTCCATACCAGGCACATCATTAATCTGCCCCATAAGCCTGTAATGGGCAATTTATCTTCACTGGAAAGATGAGAAAGCTGTTCAAGGCTATGCAACTAATGTGTGTCTCAGCAATGATTTGAATCCAGTTCCAAAATCGATGCACTTCTGCTCTCCAACTTGGCACCTACGGGGAGGGACCCTGGGTGGCACAAGTGGTGTGCAATCAGCCACTAACCACACTAGCAGAATGTACCCACCCAGAAGTTCCACAGAAGTACCTGGCAATCTGCTTCCATAAAGATTACAGCCAATAAAGGCCCACAGAGCTGTCCTTCTGGTAATATGTGGGTCACACGGGGGCCAATCCCATGGCAGCTAAGAGTGCAACATACACCTTGGGAAGACTTGACCCTCTAATATCAGAAGTAAGAACCTCACACATAGACTTGCACATCTCCAAACATATGCAATAAGGATAGTCATCCCCCAGGTGTTTTCCAGAGCAAACTAAGAGATCATTTACATAAGAAACTGCCCAGGGGCCCTTAGCAGGTGTGGGGCTGTCACATGCTTCACTGCACTGAGGCAAAAACACAAATCCATGTTTCCCAGGGGAGAGTAAGAGAGTCAAACTGTCTGGTTCAGCCAGAGTCCCTCAGCTCTGGTAATTCTCCTGCCAATTCCTTTCTCTGCTCTTCCAATAGTAATAATGTCCTCCGTCTATACGGCTTGTCAGATTTTTCATGTTGCAAATAATACCATTCAATTCTTAGAACAGTAGAGATATTACAGACAGCATCGTTACCTCCTTTTCTAAGTGAGGAGGCTCTAAGGCAAGAGAGAACCGAATGTCTTATCCCTGGGCTCTTGCACCATCCATCTCTTCCAGAAGAAAAAAGAAAGAGGCACTCTGCAGTGTGGCCAACAAAACTCAGGCACAATGGGCCCTTGGCTAAATATGGGACTACAGACTGGCTCCTGTAGCAGACTAAAAACTGTACTTTCCCCTCCAGAAGTTCCTGGCACAGCAGACAGTCTGCAGCCTGCAATCACCTCCGTGCTCCACTGCCCAACCTGCCCCGCTCCCAAGGCAGAGCTTCTCCTCCTGCTCCCTCCTCAGGTGTATCACGGTGGGCAGGGGGTGGGGAGGGAAGTTCAGGAGACAGAAAAACGCCAGTGAGACACAGTTCATTACAATGGAAAGGGGACTGTCTTCAAAGCGAGAGACTTGCATTTTAGTCCACTTAGTAGCTGTGTGACCTTGAATAACCGTTGGAGCTCTACAGAGGAATAAACAACAGACTAACTCTGGCACTTTCTGAGTACATGGGCCTCTTTTAATAACGTCTTTCTATCTAAAGTGCTCCTTACAGTAGTATATAAAAGGCTTTCAAAGCTGTCTCACAAAGTTCATGACAATACATCTCTCTTTGATTGGGAAGGAAATCCAGGTTCGAAAGAGCTATGCCACTTCCTAGGCCTACAATGCTAAGGGCTCCCAATCCAGCATGCTTTACTTCATAATAATGCTCTCTTTAATAAAGTTCCTTAGTAGCAAGAGGAACAATAATTCTATTTTTAATGCTATTAACCCCAAAAGGAATAAAAGGCATATAGGAAGTGTAAGATCCGTCACAGGTGCCATTGAAATGGACTCCTAATGCTAATGAAGGTAACACCTTCTGCTCCATTGTCCAATCTGCCCTGCTCCTCTGAGTCCTCACAGGACTCAACAAAGGCAATAGTTTCCCCCCCTGCCTCTTTCTCCTCAGTATTTTCTCAGCCAGGTGGGGGGGGCGGGAGGGGGGGAGATCAGAAGACAGAAGGGAAGATGCCAGTAAGATGCAATTAGTTACAAAGGAAAGGGCATTCTTCTTCAGCACACAGATGGCTCACAGCAGCATGGAGGGACTGAACCAGAGACTCGAGTGCCAGAAATTGATGGTGTCACTCTGCCAGAAGCCAAACCTGCAGTTCTGTCTCAGGAGCTCAATGCTAAGGCACATGTAAAATGGACATAAACTAAGTCTGTGTTTCAGAACTCAGTACTTTGGTGGTGGTTGTTGATTGCCTTGGAGTCGAGCACAACTCATAGTGACCCTATGAACGAAAGGCCTAAAATGCCTCTACAACTATTGACATTCACAGAGTTTCCGGAGGCATGCTGTTTAGGAAATGGATGCCACTCCTTTGGATGAGGCTTATTTAATGATAAAACATCAGGATTTACTAAAGAAGTGTAACTGTCTATGCAAAAATATTAAAGACCAAATGGTGTCTAAGAAATATCTGCAAAACTATTGCAAAACTTGACCAAAGGTCAGGACATGTACTAGGCATATATGTTCTAAACGTTTTCAAAACATCTTTCCATGGCCATGTCCTTTACAAGATCAGTGATTTTTAGCATTCTTGGACTCTGAGGTTTTTCCCCAAAAAAAAGTTGCTCCATGGCTTGCTAAGGATATGCACAGTAATTTTTGCATACACTGTATACCAAAGATATTAAACAATATCTCCTTAGGATCAAAGGAAAGATGATAAAACTATGTGACAGGACATATTACATCCATGTTTACAGATGAAGAGATTAAGGTTCAGAAAAGTTAGGCAACATGCCCAAGCTCACACAGCCAGTGAGTAACAGGGCTCATTTTCAATCTAAGCCTGTTGACTCAAAAGGTATACGCTCGTCCTAAAAAGACAACTAAACATAAGAAATTAAAAAGAACTTTAAATGTTGTTCACCTTTAAGGCAACTCCAATACCCTGTATTTTATTTCATTTTCAATATTTCTATCTTTGCTGGTATATAGAGAAAACTAGCAAAGACATAAAGGAAAGATTCTCTCCATTTCTGTAGTCAACTCATCTATAGACTCATTCACCCACACTTCCCTCTGGCCAGAGAACAAATTTTAAATTTCAGATTTTAGGTAAAGCTAGATATTACAAAGACTATCTCATAACTTGATCACTCTCCCACCCAGGAGCATCTATTTTAAATGATATTATATCATGGAGCTGTCTTAAAAGAACCATCAACTCTAATAGTTTGAGGTCTTTCAGCGTTTGCATATAAAGCACCCTAAAAGAATATAGCAACAAGATCATACCAAACAGCCCACAGAAAGAAGCATATGAAGCAACACAATCGTCACAATTGTAGCCAATGCAATGCGTCGGTTATCTTCACGAACAGCTGGCCAAAATGTCATTGCCAAGACAGATCCTGAGATGCCCAGTGCAATCATGACTAGAATCCAGCGAACAGCTTTTTGGGGGATGATCCACAGTATCTGAAAGAAGAGAAAAGGGATCTTGGGAGGCATTTCAGAGAGGTGTTTGTTCATTCCAGGCATATGTACTTATAACAGTCTCTAAACCAATCAGGATCTGAGCCCCACTGCGTTCTGGTTTTTCACAGCAGCCAGAGAAGCACCACCAGCATGCAGACTGAAGCAAATGCTTTTATAATGAAGGGCTCGAGATTCAGTGAAGGCACTTGGCTCCTTAACTCTATCCATGATCAACTTGAAGTCAAAGGGTATTTTTCAGGAGCACAGGAGTGTTATGTGATAGGTTGGAATGATGATGCTGGCTGAATTTTCAATTAAGAACTGGGTATCGTTCAAAATCTGTTCCATAAGCGATGATACTTACTGCTGTGGGAATATAAATGAAGAGTGAATATCCATAGACGCACACAATCTCCAAAAACGAGTAGGAAACGATGTTCATAACTTTGCTGTTTCTCCACATGAGAAAACCCCAGAGCGCAAAAGGAACAAGCCAGGCATAGGCATAGATGACGGTAGCTGCTATGGACACTGAAGAAGTGAGGACACAGTTTTAATAACTAACACACCATTAATACCTTAGGAAAGCATGGCCAATTGTCTCTTTCTAGTTGTTGCTTGTCATCAAGTTGATTCCCATTTACAGCAACCCTACAGAACAGACCAAACCTGCCTCATTCAGTTTACAACACTGTAATCTTTATGGGAGAGATAGCTAGGGTTTTTTTCCTGTGGGGCCTCCAAGTATGTTTGAATCTCCAATCTTTTTTTTTTTTTTTTCATTTTATTGTGACTTTAGCAAAAGTTTACAGAAAGAATGGGTTTTTATTCCTTCTTTGCTGCACATGCACATTTTCCTTCCTCTCCCCGACCCAGTCCACTCTACAATGTCCTTCTTGTTCCAGATTGTTGTTTATACAATGCCTAATCACACTTCCCTTTCAGACAGTTCTTTCCCTTATCTGTTCCAATGCAGGGTTCATTATCTATCCACTCTTTTCCTATTCTCCCCCAACTCCTCATGTCAGTCCTATTTTATAACAGTGGTGTTATGCCATATATCCTTTTGTGACTGAAACTTCCCTCAACATAATGGTTCACCCATGTTAATATTTTACAAGTTTATTGTTTTTTAATGTTGTGTAATATTCTATTGTGTGTATGTACCATAGTTTTTCTATCCATTCAATTGCTGATGGGCACTTGAGTTGCTTCTATCTCATTATTATGAATAATGCAGCAATAAACATGGGTGTGCAAACATCTGTTTGAGTCATGGATCTGATTTCTTTAGGGTATGTTCCCAGTAGTGGAATTACTGGGTCAAATGGTACTTCTATTTCCAACTTTTTGAAAAAGCGCCAGATCACCTTCCACAGTGGCTGTACCACCGAACCAGCAATCTATTGATCAGCAACTGATTACTTAGCTGTTATGTCACTAGGGCCTCTTTTGACAATACTGTATTTATTTCCTAACATCCACCTACTTCTTTAGATTACAGGGTCTTTGAATGATAGAGATTGTGTCTCACTGGTCTTCACAGTCCCTAAGCAGGGCAACTCTGGAATGTTTATTGAATTAATGAATTATTAACAGTTGTCTATTTGTAATGACTAGTAGTCTTCTAAATTATGTTTATAATTCATTTAATAATAACTATTATTATTATTAGTTGGAGCTCTGATGGTCTCCTGATAATGTGTTGCTCTGCCAACCGAAAGTCAGACGGTTCAAATCCATCAGTGGGTCCACAGGAGAAAGATGGGCAATCTGAAAACCTACTGGAGGGTCAGTTATGCCTCAAAGACATATAAAAACAATATTATTAAAAAACCAGAATTATGTAACCAAAATGCTTCAGAGGGCCAACTGCAAGTGTTTAAATATACTGAACATTTCAATCAAATAAAAGTCAACTATCCCCTTGGAAGAACACATCCTCTTTCCTTGTATAACAAGAGCTGACACTGATTTCTTTAGCAAATTTATTAAAATGCCCTGGGTACAGATTAACTTGCTCTGCATGCTACTTAGAGATCTTTCTGTCTATGAAATGGGGAGTTCCAGCTCATTGATGAATTGCTGGAAATATTCTCCAGTTTCACTTTCTTCTTTAAATAATTCTGTCTCTGTGGCAGAAATGCTATTTAGTGGCTCCTCAGAGCAGCAATGTTCAGTATATCACTGTCCCTCCTTCCTTCTTCTCCTCCAGTAGCAGCACACCCTAGAGGATTCCTTTTTCCTCTTCTGGAGTGGAGGATCATAAAGTGTGGCTAAGCCTCTATCACCAGTCCTTCCTATAGGAAAATCAGCAGTTAATTCATTTTAATGCTCTAGGCAAGGACAAAGGCACACCCAGCTATTACAGTCAGACTCTGGTCAAGACGTAGGACTGTGCAACAGTTTTAGCTCCCAGGCCAGTTTTTACACATTGGGAACTCCTCATTTAGCCCAAATGGAATTCTGCTGACACAGTGCCTGTTTCCTGGACAGCAAAGTAAGTGATGGAGAAGAGAATTTCTACTATGGATATCTGGACCTAGGAATAACACTGAATGCTTTATTGAGAAAAAGAATCCTCCTACCATACACTTGGCTGAGACTCACAGCAGTCCCCCATATGATTTCAAAGCTGTAAATTACAAAAGGAGGAGCCCACCCACCTGGTATATCCAAACAGCCAGTGGCGTCACACACAGTCTGTTGGTTAGCAGCACGAGTCACTATAGATTCTGCCATCAGAGCTCCCTGATTTATTGAAGGACACGTAGTATAGCAGTCTGCTAAGGATCTCTAAAAAAACCCCAACTACCCCAAATCAAAAACTAAGTCCCAGAGATTAGTGGAAAAATGGGCAGAGTGACAGAACAGGCAAGGCACAGTGAGCACTGGATGAGAAGTGCAGACAAAAGGCACTGGTCACTGTAATTAATACTGCAAACGTAACATTTATGAATGATTTGCTTTACTAAAAACGAGTAAAAAATAGAAAGGGTCTCTCAACTGGAGAACAAGGGGGAGAGAGGCAGAATGCTGAAAAAGTGACAAAGAAGGTCAATCTCCTAGAAGGATGTTTTTCACTGTGGGGAGGCCGTCATCGGCCATGTTCCTAAAAGCTATTTTTAAACAACACTGTACTGATGACAGTGTCCCTGAGGAGGGACAAGTATGGAACGCTCGGGGTTCTTATGGCTTTCTTTTCGTCCCAAGTGGGTGTCCACAGATGGGACTTGCCAAATGAACTGGGGGTCTCCGGCCCAGAGTCCGTCAGCATTTGGGCAGCCAGAATTTTAAAATACTGAAATGCTTGGCCACACCTGCAGGCTGAGGGCTACTGTATGGTGAATTGGTTTATGCCGGATCATAGGATGGCCTCTTGCGATAATGGGTACCCATGTTGGACAGTGTTTGGTGGAGCTCCTGATTAAAACAAGCTTGGAAGTAGGAGTGGCATCCACTTCCGAAATAGCTTGCCTCTGGAAACCCTATGAATCTGGAGAAAGGATGGAAGTTATACAAGTGTTCGGGTCTTTCATTCATAGGGTCGCTGTGAGTCATCTATGACTCGATGGCTCTTAACAACAACATACTGATGATACAAGAAAGGAAGTTTTAATGCGGGAGTGTCATTCACACGTCCATCTCTAGGACACTCATTCCTGCAATGTTGGTTATCGGTAGACTTCTAACAAGGCTGCTAACACAACACAGGCATAATGCATGAGTTTTCAGTGCAGCTCTACAGCTTCATAATTAGCATTGCAGACTCTCCCAGCTCAATGGGTCTTCACAACTTAGTAACTTAATGCAAAGACCCTAAAATAATAATATTCCTACTGGGTTTTGACTTTTGGATAATGCAAATAAACTATATGAAGACCTTCATCCATACTGTTTTTTACTTATTTTGTACATTTTTCTTAGGAAAAATTTCAGTAGCTATTGGGCCTTGCTTTATATCTTCCAAAAGACTATGTGGATTTATACTGGTCAGTGGTAAATTCTGAAACAGCAGGAATGTTTGAACTCCTATACACAGAAAGCAACAGCTATAGCACCTAGCACCTGGAGAGAGGACTCTAAGAATTAAAAAGAAAAAGAATTCATGGATATAAACTGATAGCTTTCCAGATTAGTCAAGCTATTCACCAACCTTTCTGGAATTCAGGCACATAATGGTACGTCTTCTCTCCCAGATGGATTAAAAAATTGGAAAGATTCCCACTAATTGCTATGGCAAAGACCAATGTGGCACATATCCAAAAGGGGCCTGCAAAGGAAATCAAACCATTGAGAGACAAGCAACTGAAGCACCGGCTTTCAGACTCTTACAGGATAATTTCTTATTTCCCTCATCTTATTCATGAAAGCAAGGGAAAGTGAATTTTAGATACAATCAACACTCATTCAGTGGGAATTTCCTCTTTTAAAAGGTCAAAACACAATTCCGTAATTAGCTGCCTTCAAAATCGGGAGGATTGAAATGTAAAGGCTGGAACACTTTCCACAATTAAATGAATAAAGGTACTGATTTGTTTACAGCTTCTTTTATTGAAGGATCATAAAAAATTGTACATTTTGTTAACCCTTAACCATAAGAATATAAGCAGCAAGGATTGTTTCTCTTATCTAGGTATCACATTTAATGCCAGGAAAAAACCACATCAGAGCTCTTGTAAAGTATAAACGAAGCCTGGGAAAGCAGATGCACTGGAACAGTGAATACAACAAGCTTGGCACAACAGAGACTGTGAGGATGGGAGAGTATCAGGCAGAGCACCTAAAATCACTGAGAGTTGGAACCAATTTTATAGCACCTAATAACAAGAACACAGAAAGCGAGAGAAGAGAAATAGGAAAAAAAAGAGAAAGGAAGAAAGAGAAGTGAAGGAATGAGAGAGAAATAGAGAAGGAGGGAGAGGGAAGAAAAGAGATCCATGTACAATAAGGTAAGAAATTCTAGTAAGAATTATAGTCAAATGGTTCTTAGAACTACTTTCTGTCACCACCTATTCTGTAATTCCTTTGTCCTCTGCCAACAAGTTGGCTGGCCAAAGTACTCTGCCTGGTGTATGAAAATCTTACTTCCTGTAGGTTCTGGGCCATTAGCAGTCATGCTTCAATTTGTCTGCTGCACTTTTCCACTGACCTTAACCACAGGACACAGCAGTATTAAAAGATACTCCTAAGAAAGATACCCTAAAAGAAATCCTAAGGAATTTCCTAGATTCCAAGTATATCTTTTGTTGCCTCCAATATGTAGTATCAATCTGATATCTCATTGATAATCAGGATGAATCACAGAAGGCAATATATTAACTCCCTTCCTTACCTGTTGATCCTACGGCATGAGAAACCCAAAGTGGCTGGGTGGCATGGAATCAATGTTGTATCTTTCAGTGGGTGAATTTCTTCCTTTGGAACTAAGACTCTGGAATCACAGTGTATAGTGTTTCAGAAACAGGAAGCAAAACTTTGCTAAGTGGGTCATTAAGAGTAACAGTGAGTGGTGCCACTCACACTCCAATAACAGACTGTTAAAAGATTTTTACAGCATCAAGGTCCCTACAAATGAAATTATGACATAAATGAGTTGATAGACCTTTGAGCTAGGACAGTGGAGGTGTAGTACAGGCCTTGCTAGCTGAAGGTAAATTACTTAAAGTGATTCTTAGAAATCAGAATCAGAAAAAGGCATTGGCCATATTATATACAAAAAAGGGTGCGAGGAAGAGAAAGAAAGAAAGGAATTGGTCCCAAGAAATGAACAGGCCTTTATTGTGTGGTCTGAGAGGGACGCCAACTGACCTGGCTGCATAGCATGCAGACAAGATCAAAATAGCGTGTGGGCATTTGGGGGCTTTCCTTTTTATAGGGGTCCTGGGGAGGACTAAGATGGTACTTCTCAGAATTTGGCTTATTAATTAAGTTCGGTCTTAGCTTTTTTCATCAAGCTCAGACTCTTATCAGGATCTATGGTCTGGTCTTTGATATGACCAGCTTAGGTGTTATCAAGTTTCTCAGGAAGTGATCAAGCTGGGGGGTGCTGGGGAAACTGCCAAATTCTTCCTTCAGGCCAGATTCACAGTTTCATGTGAGATCAAGTGTTGTTGTTGTGTGTTGTCAAGTCACCTGCAACTCATAGCAACCTATGTACAACAGCTCTGAACCTGCCCTCTCCTGAGCCAGTCTCACTGACACACCTAATCCCATCGCCTCAGTTATTATGTCAAACCATCTCATCTGGGATCTTCCTCTCCTGCACTGTCCCTCCACTCTTCCAAGCATGATGTCCTTCTCCAAGGACTGGTTCCTCCTGGCGACATGCCCAAAGTATATGAGACAGAGCATCAAAATCTAGGATAAATAATGTATACTTCATTGAAACAGATGAGGGAGAGAACTGTTTAAAAGGGATATATGATTAGATATTATTATTATGACAGGATTCCAGAACGAAGGCAGCATAGTGGCGTGGACTTGGGGGGAGGGACTGAATAACAAAGAATTTTCTCTTTTATTTTTCAAAAAGAAAAGCAAAATGGGGGGGGCATGGAGAAAAGTGCAACAATGAATGAATGGAAATCCAAAGTCTCTGTAAACTTTCATTAAAAAAAAAATAAAATAAAAAACCAAACAAACCCTAGCCTCCAAGGAGAAACTTGGTTTCACCCTCTCCAAGACAGACCTATTTGTTTTCCTGACTGTCCACGGTATGCTCAATACTCTTCTCTAGCATCATAAATCAAAGGCATCATCCTTAGTCATTGTCCAATTCTCTGATCCATAACATGTAATTGTGAAAACCTTGGCCTGGATCAGGCACATCTTAGTCTCTAGACTGATGTCACCGTTCCGCAGCATTCTGGAGAGGTCCCTGACAGCAGCTTTACCAGAGTGTTGATTGTGGAGCTGAGCAAGCTGAAATTGTTAATAACCTCAGTCTCATCTCCATCTGTCATAGTGTTGCCAACTGGCCCAGTCATGAGAATCCTTGTCTTCCTGATGTTTAGTTTCAATCTATATTGAAGACTACAGTCCTTGGCCTTCTGTAGCAACCACTTCAGGTTCTCCTCAGTTTTGGCATGCAAGGTTGTATCATCTGTTTAACACAGGTTGTTGATGAGTCTTCCTCCAGTCCTGACGCCACACAGTTGTCCTCATGAAGTCCAGCCTCTTGAATGATTTGTTCTTCATAAAGATTGAAAACATCTGGAGACCGGATGCATCCCTGATGTACTCCTTTCCTGCTTTTGAACCAGGCTGTGTTTCCCTGCTCTGTTCTGACCACTACGTCCTGGTCCAAGTATAGGTTTCACATGAACATAAATCAGATGTTCTGGGATTCCCATTCTTCTCAAAATTAGCAACAGTTTGTTGTCGTCTACACAGTCAAATGCCTTTGCATACTCAATGAAGCACAGACATTCTTCTGGTACTCTTTGCTTTCAACCAGTTCCATCTGACATTAGCAACAATGTCTCTAGTGCCAAAGCCTCTTCTAAACTCAGCTTGTATTTCTGGTAGTTCTGTGTTATTGCACTGTTCCAGTCATTTTTGGGTAATCTTTAGCAGGATTTTGTGTGTGATATTAGTGATACTATTCAATAATTTCCACACTTTATCAGGTCACATTTTTTTTTTTTTGGAGATAGGAATAAATATGGATCTCTTCCAGCCAGTTGGCCAGGAAGTTGTCCTTTGGATTTCTTGGCACAACCTTGTTAGCACGTTGAGGGTATCATTTGTTTATGGAAATATGTCAACTGGTAAGCTGTCAACTCCTGAGGTCTTGTGTTTTGCCAATTCCTTAAGAGAAGTATGAACTTCCTCCTTCATCCCCATTGGCTCTTGATCATATATTGTTTCATGAAATTGTTCTGTGTCAGTAAATTCTTTTTGGTACAGTGACGCTGTATACTCCTTACATACTTCTTTCAATGCTTTTTGGATCATTTAATATTCTGCCCACAGCATCCTTAAGTATTACAACTCAAGGCTTGAGTTTGTTCTTCAGTTCCTTCAGCTTAAGAAATGCTGAGTGAGACTCCAGCTGAGACCAATAGCTGCTCATTAGTTTGCTCAAGCAATGAAACCACACCTGGGACAGCTTCTGCAATTGGAACCATCACATGGTAACATCTTCATAATCCAATGTAATTCTCCACAATCCACCTGTTTTTATTTTTATTTTTTTTTATTATTCTCATCTTTATTAGTAGGAGTAATAGTACTTCCCACACTAAAGAATCTTAGGATGAAAAAGGCACTAAAGAATAAATAGTAAAACAATGTTAAAAGCTCTATTTCATTTAGTCAGCAATTTACTGACTTTGTATTATGTGCGAGGCACTATCCAAATGGGGCAGACAGAGCAGAGTAAGGTCGTCAGTCAGCACAGCTCTTGATTGCATATAGTTTACTTCATAGTGGAAAGCTGTAACTCAACAGAATCATTTGCCTTAGAGTAAATTCCAATCCTGGAGATTCCATGTGTGTCAGAACAGTACTGGGTTCTGTAAGTTTTCAATTGTTAAAAAAAAACCTATCATCAGACCTTTCTTGCAAGGTGCCCCAGGGTGGGCAAGAACTACCAATCTTTCTGTTACTGGTCCACGCGTAAATGAAAGATTGTACAAATCAATGTATATGGATGAAGCATACTGTAAAGGTATTATATGAAAATCAAGAAAAATTTATACCAAAAAAATTCTAAAAGTTCTCTATGTGGTTGCACGGCAGCATCTTCCATGAAACAAGAGCAAAGGGCAGACGCCCAGGTTTCATTCTTCCTTCCTCTCAGCTCTACCAGGCAGATTTGGATTCAGGTGAGTTTAGGGTTGGCACGTAGGCCAATTTTATTTTTGTAAAATGTGCCGGTGGTGCATCCAGGTTTGTTTGAAGGTTCTGCTAGTCTGTCCTCTAGCTTATTCAAGGTATTGTGACCCTCGCAAGTTTGCCAGGGAAGGGTGCGCATCACGATCCCGCCGCCGGAGTGGCCAGCCCGAGCGACCTTAGCGGGCGGCAGGGGATGTAAAGGGCCATTGAGGCCAAACCCACGGTCAGCAGTGCCTTCTGCAGCGGGGAGGTGGGGATGTGCGCGGGATAGAGCAGGCCAGCGCCATGGCTCCTGGCCCTGAGGGGCACAGCTGCAACAAGCCGCGAGGACTGGGGAGCCAGCGGAGGGGATGCACAGGCTGGTCGCTGAAATGTCATCCTGTTTTTATTATTATAAGCCAAATAGATGAGTAGAATGGGAATGATGAAGGA